TGCAGAAATAATCTAGTCTGACACCACTTTTAACTGCGACTGTTCAATGGTATGGAATTCGGAGCTCTCTGACAGAGGTGGCTAAATGTTTCATAAAATTACAAATCCCAGAATTCCATAGGATTGAGCCATGGCAATTAAAGCGGTGTCAACCTGGATTATTTCTTCAGTGTGGATGCAGCCTAACTAGTTCGCACAAAGCTGACAGGGGATTCAAGGTCTCCCAAGGAAGCAGAAGGCTTGCAAGGCCATGGGGAAAAGCCATTCCCATCTCCTGTGGGGATGAGAAGTGGGACAAAGGCATGCTCTGGACACATCATCTAAGGGGGCATCTACACTGTAGAAATAATGCAGTTTGACACCACTGTTAAGTGATGTAGCTCCATTTTATGCTATCCTGGGATATGTAGTTTTACAAGGACTTTCACCTTCTCTGTCAAAAGAAAGCTCGTTCTTCCGCAAACTTCAAGCCCCAGGATTCTGTAGGATGGAGCCAGGGCAGTTAGTGTCAAACTACATTATTTCTAGTGTAGATGCACCCACCCTGTAGAGTCAGCCTGGTGTAGTGGTTTGAGCACTGGATTATGACTCTGGAGACCAGGATTCAATTCCCAGCTCGACCACTTAAATCCAACCTTGGACAAATCACATTCTCTCAGCCTCAGAGGATGCCCATGGCAAACCTTTTTTGAACAACTCTTGCCAAGAAAATCCCATTATAGGTTCACCTTTGTTGTTGTTTTTGACTATCCTCGAGTTGACCTTAGCTCATGGCGACTCTGTAAATGAGACATCTCCACGACCTCCTGTCCTCCACTGCTCTGCTCAAGTCCCGCAGGCTCATGCCCATAACCTCTCTCATTGAGTCTAGCCATTTGGTGTGCAGTCTTCCTCTCTTTCTTCTACCCACAACCAGTGGCGTACTTACTGCTGGTGTCACCTGGTGTGGTGGACGGGCCCCCAAAAATGGAACAGGTGGGGCTTCTGTAAGAAGGTGGTGCGGGGGAAAGCCAGGCCAAAGCATGGAGCTGGCTGGAGTGTGCCCCCGCATCCTCCGTGCTTCAACCTGCCTTTCCTCAGGGGAAAGCCAGGCTGAAGCTGGCTGGAGTACATGTGCGTGCATGCACAGCTGCAAAAACGTTTGCCCGGGCCAGAGGTCCCTCCCTCAAGGTCCATGGAAAGCAGCTGTGCAGCCATGCCCAGGCCGGGAGACCCCTGCGGGGTGCAGGGGAGGGCGACCAGGTGTCACCCCCCTCTTCCGTAGTGTCACCCGGTGTGGTCCGCACCTCCCACACACCCCCAGTGACGTTACTGGCCACAACCATTCTTAGCATCATTGTCTTTTTCTAGTGATTCATGTCTTCTCACTATGTGGCCAAAGTACAACACCCTCAGTTTCATCATCTTGGCTTCCAGGGAGATTTCAGACTTCATCTGTTCTAGGACTCATTTGTTTGTCCTTTTGGCTGTCCATGGAATCCTCAGCTCTCTTCTCCAACACCCCATCTCAAATGAGTTGATTTTCTTTTTATCTGTTTTTTTCAGCCCTCACAACCATATATAGTGATGAAGAATATTGTGGCTTGTACGATTCTGACTTTAGTGCTCAGTTGTATAGCTTAACTCTTTAGGATCTTGTCTAGTTCTTTCATAGCTATCTTTCCCATTCCTAGTCATCATTTTATCTCTTGACTGCAGTCTTTGTTCTGAACTATGCTTTTGGAAGAGGTGGTGGTGATGGTTGTCTGTGCCATAGCAATAGCAAGAACATTTCTATACTGCTTAACAGTGCACTTAGCTTTGCTCATATCTTGGTTGAACTATGCTTGATCCCAAGTAAAGTAACTCTTTAACCAGTGGTATCACTAGGGTTGGTGTTACCCAGACCATGGTGGATGGGTGGGAGAACTGACTTGCCCCTCCCCAGTCAGCCCACCACCCCTCCAGCCTCCAGAGTCCCACATGATATATGCATGGGACTACGAAAACATGGCTCCCCACCACTTGCTCCCCAGTGGTGCACCCTCCAGAGGCCCATTTAGGGTCTGGTGTGGATGATGGGCAAGTGAAAAAGTGCCTTTTCTCACCTGACCAGTAGCCATGCCAGTCCCTCTGAGTGTACTACCATATTGGGTGACGTGCAGTGCAGTCTACTCCCTGCACCCCACTAGTGACACCACTACATAACTATTTCACTTTGCTCATATCTTGGTTGAACACAGATTTTCTGTGATCATTTCAATTTCCTTTATGTTCAGCTGCAGGTCTGTCTTTGCACTTTCTTCCTTGACCTCCCTCAGCAAGTCTTCTAAGCCCATGATGTTTTCTACGGTGGCCATAAGTGGGAAACAGCAGCCCTGGTGGTGCAGTGGTTAAATGCCTGTGCTGCAGCCACTCACTCACAAACCACAAGGTTGTGAGTTCAATACCAGCCAGAGGCTCAGGGTCAACTCAGGTTTGCATCCTTCCATAGGTCACTAAAATGAGTACCCAGCTTTTTGGGGCCAATTGGCTCACACATTGTAAACTGCTTAGGGAGTAGCTAAGTGCACTGTTAAGCAGTATAGAAATGTTCTTGCTATTGCTATGGCACAGACAACCATCACCACCACCTCTTCCAAAAGCTTTGGATTCGTAGTAGTTCCCAAACTTTAGTCCTCCAGTCCAGATGTGTTGGACTTCACCTCGTAGAACTCTTGACTGGCTGGGACTTTTGGGAGCTGTAGTTCAAAACATGTGGAGGACCTAAGTTTGACAATACTGCAGAGTCTCTTCCTTGACCTCCCTCAGCAAGTCTTCTAAGCCCGTGATGTTTTCTTGCAGTCTAAGGAAGTCCAGAACATCTGGATGAGGGAGGGGAGGAGTTGTTCTTAACTGCCCTTGAGTTGATCTCAACCCATGGCGACCCTATGGATGAGACATCTCCAAGACTCCACTGTTCTGCTTAATTCCTGCAACCCTTTAATACCTGTAACCACCTTAATAGAGTCCATCCATCTGGCA